CTGCCAGCGGTTATCAGTAGTTTATATTATCTCCATGCTAGCAAATTATTATTTTTTTCTTTTCTCAACCTGTTTGACACATTTGGTGATGTGATCTGTTGGGTTAAAGGGAATTGACAAGAGTGGAGCAGAAGCTTCTCTGGCAGCTGCAAAGTTTGCACTGAGGTTTCTGTCTTTTTTTGTGTGCATCGTGTCACAGCTGACACACTTGTCGCCCTACAAAAGGAAAAAACCTTTTGTTTGTGTGTCTTTTTTTTGCCAACTGCTTGTAGGTGTGTGAGAGTGTCTTTCCAGCTGCGCTTCACTCTTCTCTCTTCTCTCTTCATCGCGGCGCATACAGCAGACCTCTTTGTCTGCTGGTTTCGCACAGGGCGGGAGGTGAAGAGCAGTTTGTTCATAATGGATTATTGATTGGTCTGAGAATATACTGGCTCTGCACTGTGTGTGCGCGCCCATGTGTGTGTTTGTGTGTGTTTAAGACTCCATACCATTCCCTCTGTGCACTGAATGTCTCCACTTTATGAGCAACTGTACAGAGGATAGGGAGTTTTTTTTTTTTAACTTGTAAAGTGCTCTCTGTATGTTATGCTCCATGAAGCAAAATGTACATGAGTGTGTGTGTGTGTGTGTGTGTGTTTGTGTGTGCCTGCATGGATGCATTCGTGTGTGAGCACCTCTGTATTGGCCATTCAGCTTTCAATGCAGCCTGTATGAAACAGTGTTAAAAAGCCCACAGTGTGCGTCTATAGACTTCCAAAGTGTGTGGAGAACATTTAAAAGCCCCCTCTGTTTTCCTTCTTGATTCCTCAGTTTCCCTGCATGTGTGCGTGTGTTTGTGTCCAAAACACTGCTCCACTCTTTTTTTTTTTTTTTTTTTTCCCTGCAGTTTTTTCTTTTTTTTTAAAGCCTTAAATTCTGGCCTCTGTGGCGCAGTGTGGGAGGGGAGCGGATCGGATGAAGGATGTCCCACACGCAGACCTGCAGTCATTACCGGTGACAGTGTGAGTGAGTCGGTGCGATATGAAAGCCAATCTCCTCAGCCTCGGGTCCAGCAGATTTGTTTCGTGTCTGACTGTTGAGACGATCGCTGGGATGGGGGTCCTGGCATCCTGGCCCCCGTCATCCATTGAAAATCTCTGGGCTGCTTTTTTTTTGTCCAACAGTGAACGTCCTCGTTCAAGCAGGGGCGGAAAATGAACGCTAGAGGGGGCTGTTGAAAAAGATCCTGGTCTATGTGTCTATATTTCTTTTCTCTTCTTTTTGTGGTTTTGTTCAAATTCGTCATATTAAAGCTTTGTCTATAGGCCCGGTTTGAAAGAGCACCAGCGTGTGAGAACAAACAGAAAGACAACTCTGTAAACGGGCCGCCCGCTGGCCTGCGAACACTGGAGATTCCCTCCAGATGTGGACCTCACAAGTCTGCGCGACAGAAATAGCCGTGCTCCCCTTTGCAAAAGGCAGCGAGTGGATGGGAAAACGAGAGCGGATTTCCTGCTCTTGACCGCTCTCCGCCGCCATGCTCCGGCGTTCAGAAAGCGGAACAGAGGAGGTTGAGCATGCTGGAACATGAGGGGGGGGGGGGGGGGGTGACAGCAGTCATTACCAGCTGAGTGTAGGCCAGCAACCAGTGCTTTGAGTGTCCATTAATGGTGACTTTCCAACCTAAGGTTAGACAGCTCATTGTCTTTAAAGGATGATCTGATGTTTGTGTTTTTTTTCCCAGCAAGTTAAAAAACACCAACACGGGCATTAAATGCATTAAATGTTCTGATCAGCAGGCAGCATCGAAGGCTATTTTAGATCCTTTTGGCTCAGAAATTAAACCACATGTTCTACTCCAGCTCTAGTTATTCTTTCATTCTGTCTCAGGTTGCACATGGGGTTGTGTGTGTGTGTGTGTGTGTGTGTGTGTGTGTATAAAAGGCAGGTTAATTAGCTGAAGAATGTCAATGACAGTCAAGGTTTACATGTGGACCAGTATTAGTAGCTTGAGGGAAGATGGTGTCTTAATGTTTTTGTCTTTTATGGAGCTATGTGACTTTATCTTTTTTTTCTTTTTTTTCCGATTACTTTGATTATTGGTAATTTTCTCCAGCTCTCCAAGAATGTTTCTCCCAAAAGCCAATTTGTCTTTTTATTCTTTTTTTTCTTTTCTTTTTTTTTGCATTCAGCCTCATCGCTTGAGGAGCCTGCATTGTTTCCCTTCTGCTGCTTAATCTTATTATGTTTCAATTTGTACATGTGACTGTCTGGATGACAAGCTTACTGTTGAATTATCTCAACCCCTCCCTGCCCTCCTGACCCGGAGTCAACAAGAGCATTTAATAGGAAATAAGATCATTATCCCTGTTTTTAAGGCCAGAATGAGAAGAGACGGTTAAGCGTAAGATGGAGCAGATGGAGGTTGCTACTTCGGTGGCTTTGTTTCTTAATATTGCTGTAAAATGCACCTTGTCGCCAGTGAGTGGTTGTGTTAATTGCTTGATACACGGTCAAATTAGTATTTGTGGTCTTTCTACTCACGATTGAAGGAGTTAATGTCTTCTGCTGTTTAAGCAGTGTGAGGAAAATCTGTCAGTGATTAACATAGTGCTTCTGTGAAAATAAATCACAGCTTGATCTCACATGATCAGCCCCTCTTCTGTTTAATTTGATCACTTCTAAAAGCAAGTCTCATGTTCTCCTACATGCCACGTCAGCGGCCACGGTTAAAAATGGAGGATACATGTTCAGTGTTCAGAGCAGGAGTAGGGAAAAAAGGAAGATGGTGCTGGTTCAGGATTCCTTAGAAAACCTTGAAAATAGCATTCTTATTGGGTAGTAACTCGTCGGTCACAGTGCACTACTGACTCAAACCATTGTTCACTTTGTCCATTTCCATCTAAAATGGTCGTTTCAGGGTTATACAGATTATACATGATCATTTTATGGGCATGCATATCTTCCACTTCTTGTAAGGTTTTGTTTTGTTTTTTGTTTTTGAATTTGCCTGTTAATAATCTCAATTTGACCATAATCTTTGTCTCCAGTAAATCTCAACTTTATCCTTTCTCCCAGCTGGAGAAGTTTTTGTTCCGTTGAAGGGCTGATCTTAGCTAGCACTCCAGCGAGAAGCATGTTGAGCCATTTGGGCTGATTACAATAGCCTGAATCACTCCAGATACATATGGTACTCAGGTGCAGGGGAGTCATTTTCAGCACTCCAGTTTAAGACATATGATTGTTCTTGCTCTAACTTCCCTCCTCCACCGCCTTATCCTTTTATGATAATGATCAATTATCCACTCGTAATTAGAGCCTGGCAGTATCTCAGCTTATGGGCTCTGACAGTGTACGCAATAGCCCGTAATAATGTTGTCAGTCAGATTTCATACAGTCCACACGCAAAGGCAGGCTCTGTTTGGAAATTTCCCCGATGTTTTGCAAGTTTTTTCTTTGGATGGGAATAGATATTTTTTTAATAGTTAAAACGTGTCCCTGCGATCAGACACTACGAAAAGAATTAAGATGCATTTAATCTGAACATTGTTGCAGTCTTTAATTTGAGGAATGCATGATGTGACTACACGCGCAAGTCACTGCATGGCTTTTTATTTTTCGCCGGGTTTCGAAACAGCAGCAAGGCAGAAACTGTTTGACAACTTTTCCATCCCTGGAGAATGATGCATGGTGTGTGAAACAAGTGAGCCCGTCTCTCTTTCTCTCTCTTTTTTTTGTTTTTTTTTTACATTTTTTTTTTTCAGCCTCACTTTCTGTTTGACTCGCTCCTCGACCCCATTCAACTCCAGTTTAAGAAACCAAGCAAAGCAAACTGTCTGAAGAGCCACTTCCTGTTGTGTACTTAAGATCCCTGTCATGTGATGGTGTCAGTTGAGGCGGCTGCGTGAGGCCTGCTGTGGGGAGGGAATATGGTGGCGCTGCTGATCCTGCTGATGCGAACGTCCCGGCCCCCTCAACCACCACCCCAATTGTGTAAAGTGTCGACTCAGCCGCATCACCACCCCCCCCCCCCCTCCCCCTCCCCTCCCCTCCGGCCCCGCACTGCTCAGGCACCGTTGCAACCCAAACACACACTTGTACACACAAGCGTCTACATGAATAGTAGGGGGAGCCCGGTGCAAGATAGCAGCATGCTTTCAGCCTCTACATTTGGTTAAAACATCTGAACTCGGTTTTACTGACACATTTTATGGTCTGGTGTTTTTCCTGTTAATCAAACTGGGAACACACACACACACATATACATACATATATATATATATACTTCTAGTGGCCCACTAATATGCCTTTACCAGTACTGGTACATTAAAAGAAAACGGAGCAATAGCCTATGAGGGAAAAGTGCATAATTATTTACTAAAGCTTCCGTCATAAACATATTTGACCTGACTATAATCACCAATTTCAAGCACTTGTTTCATTTTCAATTTTCTCATCAGCCAAAAAGGCTTTCACAAGTCATTATAGATTTGAAATTATGCAGATTTACTGACCTGGTCCCCGTGTCCTCTCTCCCTCTGCAGGTCCTGCCGTTGAGAACTGGCTCATGCTGGGATGTGGAAGCTGGCGTGACACTTCAAAAGTGAGCATGAGAAAGCCAGTGAAATGAGGAGCAGAACTGAGGTGGATTATCTGCATCGATGCAAAGACCTCTCAAAAGTCCACTCGTCTCCCACGGCAATGACTCTAAGCTGATTGTCCACTCTTATTTTGCAAAGAGATTAAATCTCAGTTATTTATTGAAGGCTAAGTCGATTTTGAGCCTGGAAACCAGATGATACATTGCTCTCTTTCTTTCCATGGTTTGACTTGCTGTGGAGTGTGGTACTCTCTGAGTGGACATTGTTGAAATCAGCTGCTCTATTAATAGGAGGTTTATCGCTGGATGATTGAAAGCAGAGGAAAATCTAAGTGACCAGCAGAGGCACATAACGCATCTCTAGATGTACAGCTGCAGATAGCAACAGTTTAAATGTTTTTAAGCTGGTGAATGGTCGGGCTTGGTTGATAACATGAATCGCAGAGACGGCGTGGAGGTGATGGAGACCCAGGCAGGAGGCCAGAAGGAGAAGCTGATTAGAGTCGTGGACAGTCCCGACAATGGGAACGACATCGAGGGCGAGGACGACAAAATCCCCGGAGCCTACAACTGCAACATCTGTGGACGCAGCTTTCCCTTCCTCAGCTCTCTGTCGCAGCACATGAGACGCCACACGGGTGCCCGCCCGTACAAATGTCCCTACTGTGACCACAGGGCCTCTCAGAAGGGCAACCTCAAAGTCCACATCCGCAGCCACAAACTGGACACGCTGTCTACGCACCACTCCAATGAGGACGAGGAGGGCGGGCCAGACGAGGAGGAGATGAGGGTGTCGGAGGGCCTCGATGGAGGCACCAGTCCCACCAAGAGCAGCTCGGCCTGCAACAAGATGATCGGCGGGGATTCTGTGGAGGAAAGCCGGAGGAAAGTGCCTGCGCGGAGCATGAAGAGGGAAAAGTCCGTCACCAACCAGAGGCCTTACTGTTGCCGCCTGTGTGGCTACGAGGCCCTGCGGGAGGACCAGCTCCTCAGCCACATCGAGAAGGTCCACATCACGGCGGACGCAGAGGAGGAGGCCGTCGCTGTGAAGGAGGAGGTTGTGACCGAGCCGGACGTCCCGCAGCCCCAGAGCGACGGGACCTTTCCCTGCGAGACCTGCGGCCAGGTTTTCACCCAAGCCTGGTTCTTGAAGTCGCACATGAAGAAGCACGCGGGAATACTGGACCACTGCTGTCGAATCTGCGGGAGGAGGTTCCGAGAAGCCTGGTTCCTGAAGTCGCACATGAAAACGCACAACACCAAATCCCGGTCTCGGTCCAAGACCGATTCGGCCGAGCACCCCGCCACCATCAACGATGTAGCCCAGGATCCCGACGCCATCACATGCTCTGTGACATCCGTCTATCAGATGTGCTCCAAATGCGGGAACCTTTTTCACAGTAAGGAGAGCCTGAGAGCCCACGATAAAGTTCACAGTCTCGGCCACGGCAGGAAATCCCCCATCGAGAGCAGGCCGAGTGATGACGAGGACTCCCCCGCTGCTAAGAGACGTTTACTTGACTACTTAAACCTCGAGTCTGTGGAGGGAAAGCCTCAGGATGAAGAGGAGGGCAGTGTGAAAACGATGGTAGGTCAAAGAATTCCAGAGCTAGATCCAGTTTGCAGCTATCAGGCCTGGCAATTAGCCACTAAAGGAAGGGTTGTGGAGCCCTTGGAGCCTAGTTACAAGGCCTCCTATGGGGGAGGAAGTATGGGGGAGGAGGCCCTTGCTGGCGCCGCTGTGGTTTTTGAGAAAGAAAGTAGCAGTTATGTCCTCCAAGGTCAAGAGAAACGCAGCTCAGGTAGACGCAGCAGCTCTGGGTTGGGGAGCCACTCCTCCTCAGGGTACTGGACACCAGAGAGCCTCAGTGACTCCGAGTACCGGCCGTCGTGCCGGCAGGACAAACGGCGACCGTCGCAGTCGCAGGTGTCCTCCAAGGGCAACGAGTGCTTCGAGTGCGGGAAGATGTTCCGCAGTCGTCACCAGATGATCGTCCACCAAAGGGTCCACAGGAAGGATGGAGGCAGGGCATCTGTCGGAGAAAAGGAAAGGAGCACGAGAGAGGATCGATGGGGCTCCACCAGCGATCCAGAGTCTGGCTCACCCAGCCGACCCAGTACCCCGGGCTATGGGGACTCTCCTCCTGCCTCCACCCTGGGAGACCAGGCCTCTGAGATGGGTACCTCCAACTCTGGAGAGCCTGCAGGTTAGTCAACAACTTTCATCCTCAAAAATTCCAGCTGTGGGGTTTTTTGCTGAAAAACAACCAGCTGAATCGAACAAGTATTAAGTGAATTATTGCACTATTATTGTTAGGAAAAGAATATAATAGACAGACATCTGGAGGAAACAAAGTATACCTTTTTGTAGTACAAGTAAGTACACCCCTAGGTCCAGTGTGCAATGCTCAGATAAATGAGAAAAATCAGCTTTACAGGCCACAGTTTGCATGTAGAAGTTCATGAAGTTCATGATGATGTAATGGGGGGGAGAAAGATCAATTATAGGTTGTTTGGAAAGGTTGAAAGATAAAGCCTAATCTTAGAAAACAAGTGGGTGGGTCTGTATTAATGCTCTTTGGTCAGACCAGAACAAAATAGAGATGTTTGTTTCCAGCCCAGCCTTTTAAGCCTTTTAGCAGCAAAACGAACTGTACCCACAACCGAAATACCGTTACCCATGTTATAAGCCTCCCACTCAGTGCCGCTGTCACTATGTAGTAAACATCTGTTGATAAGAGCTGCTTCTTGAGGGAGCAGCTCCTGGTCTCATCATAGACTGGGGAACTGGAGCCACCGTGTGGCCAAAATAATGAAACGACGTCCGTGGGAGTGACCCTCGGCAGGAATGGTGTACAAATTCAATCCAGTTCGGTCTTTAAACCTCAAAAGCCTCTGGTAAATGTACTGATTATCAGGGTCTTTATTGGACACGATCCGGCTGTAAAGCCTAAATGCTAAATAAAACCATAATCCCTCAGAATGTCACCAGTGCAAAGGGCATTTTTGGAATGCCTATCATTTTTTTCACCTTCACAACCAATAAACGTGGGACAGAGAGGATGGGGGGGGGGTGAGACTGCCCATACAAAAGCAGAACAGCCACAGTCACGACTGAAATATACCAAAGGACTGATTCCTGTATATGCAACAGTTTAGACCTCTCTGTTTATCAATCTTGTTGATTTTTTTTTACACAAAATCAGATAACGCTGGGTGGAATTGAGGAAGACAAAGATTTGTAGTGATTGTTTCCCATTCTCCGGGTTAGCACGGACATTCATAAAATAGCTGCGACATTTCTTGAGGGCTGATTGAGCTCTGTGCTATTTCAGGTCTTCCTGTCTCAGGAAACCCCCCCACCCCCCCTCCCCATACATGAAAATATTCTTTGCTCTGTTTTCTAATGCGGTGGCCTCACAGATAAGTGTTTGTGACTGTGTGGCACTGGGCTGTCAGTGATGGAAAGATTTAAAGGACAGCGCTGTACTCCATGGTTGAAATGGCACCGCCTCCCTCCCAAGGACATCTGCTTTTTTTTTGCGTGTGTTTCTAAACACCCAACAGTGAAACATTTATTTATATTGGCAGCGAAACCGATATGATTTTTTCCCTCCAGATAATGGGCAGGTTAGTACGTGATGGCCAGCATCCAGCTGTCCATTACCTTTTCACTGATCTCTGAGGTTGCCCCCCAGTGACACCTCCACTGTCACTCATCCAGCCTTTTCTTTTCAACCGCTGAGCCACCCAAGTCCACCTGATATCCTAGTCACATACCAATGGAGAATACCTTTCTTTTTGCAGCTGATATTTTTGGCTCAGTTGTAAGAATTTCTCCAAACAACAGTAGAAATGTTCCCCGTTTGAAGGTGTCAAAATCAAAGCCGGTCCCGGCTCCTCAGTCTCGCCACCGTGCTTCGTGTTGCCAACAGGAAGAGAAATGAACAGCAGATGGTTTGTTACTGGTGTTGTTGTGAAAAAAAGACCCGGCAAGGTTGTGGGTTGTTAAAATAACCTGCAAAGCCCAGAGGATTTCGCATGCGTCTGTGCGTGCAAGGTGATTCGGTCCATTTTGTTTTGATGTCCTAATAATGCATTTAGTGACTGCTCATAGTTTTAAAGAGCTTTCCAGCTCCATGACTAAGTGTTTCTACCACTGCAGGAAGAGCCCCTGCTGAGATTCCTAATTTTAACCGAGACTCACGCTCTCTAATTTCCTGCTGAAAAGCAGACGTGTAGGAAATAAGTTGTACCAGTGATGTCAAATAATTCTCATGGAAACTTTGGTCATGATCGCCACCGTGTGGAGAACATCAAAAGCTGCACCTCATATGCAAACCAGGTCCTTGTGGTGTTAATTGGAGTTCAAGTGCAATTGACATTTAGCTGTTTTTGTATGGATCCTAGTGCAGCATCATATAGGCCACAGAGATCAGATCATAGCTCTGATAAAACCTTCTGAATGCCAGTCTTACTGAACTCCTGGTTATTACGGTCATCGTGTCTTTGAATGAAAAGATGAAAAAACACAAACCGTTGGACACAATATGCTTACTTTTATATCAATAGTTTTTAATTAAGTGTTTATTACTCTTGTAGTAAAAGGTTATTTATGTCATTTTATCATAGTTTATAAATGAAACAAAAAAGGGAGAAAAGGGAATATGGAGCAATGCCGCCCCCTGGTGGC